ACCTTGTCCTCACCGCAAGAAACCTTGTCCCCAACGGCAGGAACCTTGTTCCCACCGCCAGTAACCTTGTCCTCACCGGCGGGAAACATGTTCGCAACGCCAGGAACCTTGTCCTCACCGCCGGTAACCTTGTCCTCACCGGTACGAACCTTGTCCTGAGCGGTAGGAACGTTGTCCTCACCGCGAGTACCTTGTCCTCACCGCCAGTAACCTTGCCCTCACCACTAGTTACCTTGTCCTCACCGGCACGAGCCTTACCCTCACCTCCTGTAAACTTGTTCTCACCGGTAGGAACACTCAGTCAGTCAAATCTTTTTTTAAGCACGGTAGCTTCATCAGCTTTACAAAAAAGTTATCTATACATTAATAAGTTTAAAAAAATTTTCACGCCTATGTTACATTAATATTTATACCTGTTTTCCATGAATGCCGTGTCTATCGAATATGATGTTTCAACAATTGTCGAAATTCAGTAAGAGATTCCGCTTGTCTTATATTGCTAGGTAAGCTGTTCCATAACACTGCACCACTATAGCTAAAGCTATTTTTGCTCATCTGCTCATCATCTGCTCTTAAGGCTCGAACGCGAGAAAAGGTGTGGTTTCATCAATTTTTTTCTTATTACTTACTACTGCAATGAAACAAGACATAATACAATTTTGATACGTTTTTATTTCTCATATACATTACACAAATTCATTGGTCATCACTATCTGAAAAAAGTCATCAAAATATTTAATGGTCTTCATCATCGCTTTCCTCTGTAAAAGTATAATCCTTTAAAAGTTTTTTGATAAGAAATTTTCTCTTATCAACAGCTGCTTGCATAGCTTCTTCGGGATCAAAATGTTCATTGTCCACAAAGGCATCTTTTGTTTGCATTATTTTCTTATGCACTGGATCGTTCTTTAGTTGTTTCATCCACGAAAGACGATCCATATAGATACTCTCTAGCTCTTTTTGGAGCTTAGGCAGAATATCGGAGTAAGCTTTTTCTTCAGCGGATTGTTCATCCAGACCACTGTGTATCAAATTCATCTTCATTTCCTCAAAACCCGTTTTATACTTTTGCATTGCTTCTTCTATCATTGGCATCCAAGGATCGTTTTCTTCATCCTTAGTTTCCGTCTCATTGTCTGTTGTCACCGGACTTTCAGAACCATGAGTTGAAGCGGTCGAAGAATCGCCTTCAGAGTCCATTGTCTGACTTTCTGTTTCTGACATTTCTCTCTCTTGATACTTCAATGGACAGTACTTATTTTCGTGTCGACGTAGATTGAAACTTCGATTAACTGTTTTTCCGCAGAATTTGCAGATCATTTCGCTAGCAAGGTCTGTGTAAAAATGCCTTGTTATTCAGCACCACTGTACTTTTATATGAGCAGATGAACATGTGCTCATGAGCCAACTGAGCAACTATTGAGCACCCGCTCAAAACTGCTCATCTGCTCATAAGTCCATGCTCATCTGCTCATGACTGCTCATCTGCTCATGAGCACATGCTCAACTGCTCATCGCATCAATTGCACTGGAAATCTAACAATGCTTGTGGTAGAATTAAGCCATACTTTCCATCGTACTCTTTTGAACGTATGAGCAGCTGAGCATGTGCTCATGAGCAGGTAAGCAGTCATGAGCAGATGAGCATGGACTTATGAGCAGTTATGAGCGGGTGCTCAATAGTTGCTCAGTTGGCGCATGAGCACATGTTCATCTGCTCATATAAAAGTACAGTGGTGCTGAATAACAAGGCATTTTTACACAGACCTTGCTAGCGAAATGATCTGCAAATTCTGCGGAAAAACATTTAATCGAAGTTTCAATCTACGTCGACACGAAAATAAGTACTGTCCATTGAAGGATCAAGAGAGAGAAATGTCAGAAACAGAAAGTCAGACAATGGACTCTGAAGGCGATTCTTCGACCGCTTCAACTCATGGTTCTGAAAGTCCGGTGACAACAGACAATGAGACGGAAACTGAGGATGAAGAAAACGATCCTTGGATGCCAATGGTAGAAGAAGCAATGCAAAAGTATAAAACGGGTTTTGAGGAAATGAAGATGAATTTGATACACAGTGGTCTGGATGAACAATCCGCTGGAGAAAAAGCTTACTCCGATATTCTGCCTAAGCTCCAAAAAGAGCTAGAGAGTATCTATATGGATCGTCTTTCGTGGATGAAACAACTAAAGAACGATCCAGTGCATAAGAAAATAATGCAAACAAAAGATGCTTTTGTGGACAATGATAATTTTGATCCCGAAGAAGCTATGCAAGCAGCTGTTGATAAGAGAAAATTTCTTATCAAAAAACTTTTAAAGGATTATACTTTTACAGAGGAAAGCGATGATGAAGACCATTAAATATTTTGATGACTTTTTTTCTGAAAGTGATGACCAATGAATTTGTGTAATGCATATGAGAAATTAAAACGTATCAAAATTGTGTTATGTCTTGTTTCATTGCAGTAGTAAGTAATAAGAAAAAAATTAATGAAACCACACCTTTTCTCGCGTTCGAGCCTTATGAGCAGATGAGCATGTGGTCATGAGCAGTTATGAGCATGTGCTCATACGCTCATGCAGGATGAGAATATGAGCATGTGCTCATGAGCAGTTATGAGCATGTGCTCATACGCTTATGCAGGATGAGCATACGAGCATGTGCTCATGAGCAGTTATGAGCATGTGCTCATATGCTCATCGCACAAAATGAGCACATGCGTGGACAGTATAGAAGCCGGACAGCATGTTTAATTATGTAAAATTGTTTAATAATAATAAATGGCTTATAACGTTAATCTGTGCGACTTCGCAATCGGATACACATCGCCCCACATCCAAAACGAACACTGCTTTCCCTTCTCGCCACACACGAAGAACGGCCGCCCGTAATTCTCCTTCATCAAATCTTTTACCACACACATTTTGGCAAGCTTGTCATGATCACGACACCGCGGATGGGGCTGCTCCGTACACCTCCACGCCGTTATTGCCTTACTCAATATCAGTACAAATAAAATTGCACGTAGGGTTTTCACCACAGAACCAAAACGTTCCATTACTCGTTGTTGAATACACAGCAGGCTTTCCATGTAAACAATTCATCGTGGCACTACAAAACAAAACAAACACATCATTCCTTTATACCCTTCGCGTACGTACGCGCGTACGTACAACCCCACACGTCACTTTCATTATGACGTCACTTCCAATCCCATATTCTGCGTACATACGCACTATCCTGCGTACGTACGCAATATGACGTCACTCCCCGCGTACGTACGCATGACGTCATCTACATATGCAAAAACTGCTGACGTTTTTTGGCGGGAAATTTACCCCATATGGGGGGTATAATACTACTTGCATGCAACCAATGTATTACTACTTTTTAACTTTCTTAGGACTTATATACGGTTTTAGATGTTTTAATATAATGTATACGACACAATACAACGCTATATACAACGTTATACAAGACTATACAACAATATATAAAGCTATACAACACTATACAATGTTGTATACAAGACTATACAACACTATATAAGGCTATGTGACACTAAATGACACTATGCAACATTATACAACAGTATACAAGACTATACAACACTATATAAGGCTATACGGCACCATACGACACTATACAACGTTATACAAGATTATACAACAATATATAAGGCTATACGACACTATGCAACGTTATGCAAGACTATATGACACTATGCAAGACTATACAACACTATACTACACTATAGACGACTATTATTCAAGACTATACAAGACTATAAAATAAAACTATACAACGTTATACAAGACTATACGACACTATACGACACTATACAACACTATACGTCATTTCGATGTTTTCCTTCGTCGTTGAGTTAATAGTTATTATACCCTGTGCGTGTGAGCAGAGCCTTAATGTCAAGTCTGCAATCATTTTCAGGTTTTTCTTCGTAAATCATAACAACATTTGCCAACATTGAACATGCCTGCATCATTCTGTTATGATATGGTCAATATAAACGTATTGCTAATACAGTAAGTGAACATTGGCAACACCGTGATTAATAATTGGCTAAAACGTACCTGCAAAAAATAATTTTCTGACGAAGTTATTGTCGTTTATTGTTTGTGAAGAAATTATCGTTTTTTATATTTTTCATCATGGCGGAAAGTAAAGAGCGAGAGCTTTACGGCGACTTACGAGCAATTACCGACTGACAGAAATCCAAATTTCTTCTATATTTTGATTCAAGCTGCGTCGTTATAACTCGGTGAAGGAAACTGGCACGAGTCATGACGTCAAAATCAGTTGTCAAGAAAAGTGTGCTGCAATTAGTATACAGTTTCAAAATAACAATATGCTCATATAAATTGTCACTTATTGAATTGTCAAAGAATTGAATTGTCCTTGAATTGAATTGTTTCGCCCCAGAAGTACATGTATAGTTTATTTTTGAATTTAAATAGTCTATTGATATATTTTAAGTCTGCACACACGCCGAAGTTTTAAATCGTGACCGATTTGTGTAAAGACTGCCGTTTGGAATACAGTCATAGACAAAGTTCAGAGTCGTGGATATATTCACGGTTGATCGATTCAAGAACAATTGTTTTAAAATTATTGAAAAGCTTTATACCATCTAGATACAAGAGCGTGTGTTGCTTTTGAAATGGGTGATTCGCATTTCTTTTAGTGACAAAACGTTCCATATTTGAGTTTGAATTTCGCAATATTTTTTAAAATTTGTTCTTGTTCAAATTATTAAAACCGTTAATTCGATTAAAAGGTCATGGAAGATGAAAGGTCAATTTTCCTTCAACTTCCGTTCTACTTCCGGTTACAATGTCGAGTTAATTTCCGTCACCAGTTGTTGCGGTGCACATCGAACGAAAGATTTTCGGCGTTTCATCCCTTTCTTATTTATGTACGGGCTACACCCTCGGCATCCTTTCGTAAGATGTTCGGGAATTGTCGATGCAATGCAATGAAGTTTGAATTACATGAAGTAGAAGGCATGATATTATCGAAACTATAAAAATCAGCTAATTTTGATCCTTTAATGACTTTGTCTGCGAATTGTTGTGATATAAATATGCGATATTGGTTGATGACAAGGTATTTATAAAACACAATCGTACTTTTCTGCCCCCTGTGCGAGGAATGCGCATGCACATCTGGAAATCCCCAAATGTAACTAATTAAAGGTAAAACATCCACTTTTAATCATCCAAGGCATTCGCTTGTTGGTGAAAGGTTCAACATGCATTGCAATGGAATATATATTTGTACTGTTGTACATGTATGTTTACAGTACTTACTTCTGTAATAACATAGCGATGTCCATTTGGGCACTCTGAAAAGTAAAAGAATCAATTAATTTTCAGAATCTTTGTATTATATAGAGATACAGACAAAAGCACAAGTAAATTTACTGAATAAATTAGGAGTAAGGCCTGCTCATGATTAAATTTTACGCATAAACGAACAGCTTAAGGACGTTGCAAACCTTAGCTTGTTCATTGACTTACCATACCACCGTCCAGCGGTTGCTTGCATAACCTCAGGGCCATCATCATGAGGCATTGTGGGAATGAAAGCATTCTATATAACCGATAAAATGCATTTTATAGCGTTACGGAATGGACACATTGTCAAGTTGTGTCCCACAAAATGTTCGAGAAAAGAATTAATATAATAATACAATACATTTAACTCCACATTGTCATAAAAATTAAATTAAATGACCAGAATTTAATGAGGTGTTTTATAAAACATATTTTCACTCTTTTCAGAAAATAACCTTCCTGTGTCATAGTTGCTGTGTGATACTATAGAAAGCAATGGAAGCATAATAAAGCACAGCATGCAGGGTAAAGGTGCTGACAAAAACCAGAAAGGTAGAAAATGTTCATACATTTCAAATGATAAACGTATGCAGCATTTATCACTTATTTACTGAGACCGAGGGAAATAGTGTGTTTTGTGGATCCGAGAACGCCGTTGTTGCCCGAGGCGAAGCCGAAAGCAACAACGGCGGTCGAGGGGCCACAAAACACACGGCTTTCCCGAGGTTTCATAAATAAGTGTTTTGTTACATAGTATATAAGTGTCAAAGTATGAATAATTCACCCGTTATTGGAGTGAACTTTGAAACCAAACTAGATAAATGGAACGCCGTAAATGTTTAATATACACGCGACGGCTGACGCGCATGCACACTGTATCTATTCTATTAATGACCGGTCAATAATTGTTTCATTGTGGACCGGTTGCGCCCTTGCCAAAGCATGCAGTGAACATGACGTTTTGTGGACCGGCGTGATACGGTTTTGACCAATCGGCAAACAGAAAAATTGAACTTTGACACTAACTATATAACAAAATAATATAGTAAACGTTTTATATGGTTGTAGATTCTGAGCCATGAACAAAGATATCCCCAGACCTTTACGTCTTTGTCCTGACATTTAATTGTTTTTGTGATAAACCAGTTCAGTAAGAAAACGCTTTCGTACGTTCCCAAGGTTACAGAGTTTAAATATTAATCTGTTATATAGCTAGTGTTTAATTGATGGTATATTTCATTGGCTGATTTGTGATCACGTGTCATATAATGTCAAATGCAATGTAAGTTAATGTATATCTCGCCGAGCAACTGAACAACAACAGACAAAATGGAGCCAAAAGTAAAAGAATAACGTTTTCCCATTCTGTCTAACAAAAAAGGGGAACAACAGCCAACAGCAACTTTTTCAGCAGGTTCTTTTATCGTTAAAATAATTTATAATATTAAGACGTTTTCACTCATGAAATAACATCGTTGAGAGAATGTTGTTCATTCTTTCTTTGCCACTATACAAAAAAATACTCATGTCTGTTCCCACGGAAAATAATTAATTTTGTTTGCTGAAAAGGTGCCTATTAAGTATTAACCAATCAAAATGGTAAAAAGGCCAGGAAATATGCACAGTATTTCCTTTTTTATGCGCTTAATTTCCTTTTAATTTCCTCAAAATTTCACTGTACGTATTCATTGTTATTATCATTAATATTAAATTACACGTAAGAAAATTGTATTTCTCAGCACAAACTTCCATTTAACTTTCTACTAAATGATATATGTCACACATATAAGATTAAGGGGATAAATTTGAACGAAATATAGTAATACTAACAATACTTCTTACCATCATCAAAGCTGGATTAAAAGCAAGACTCATAAGAGGTTGCAGCAACCGATTCGGAGGCAAACATTTCGTGACAATAAGGAAATGAACCAAGACTTCAATTAACCGCCTGTCATTGCCAGATTGTCGAGGGCTTAGTTGTAAGAGTTGGCTGTCAGCGTTTTCAAAATTTTTCAAAAGATTTCCAGCTAATCCCTTTAACTAAAAAAAAAGAAAGAGATCCACTATTAAAAAATTTAAATTGGTCACATGTTTGCAACAAATATGCGTTTTCTTTTTATCTCTCTCACCGGTCACAGCCTTGGCTCTTTTGTTTTCATTGTTTCAAATATATAACAAAGCAATTGTTGGATTTGGACTACGCTTCGGCAGGTAACATTCACCTTGGTCTGAATAATCTATCCGATGACACAAATCCGCCCTTTTTTTCGTTCTGACGTAAGGAATGCCTTTATGCACTTTACATATAATGAACAAAGACAATGGACTTGCTTGATTTTATAATCTGTGATTTATTTGATTATAGGTGGAAACACTTCCAATAAAACCTGATCAGCTGTATTGGGTTACTGATCAGTGCAAACACGATGTGATGAAGGGCCTCGACCAGAAATATGCTATAAGCAATAGCCCACGGAATTTTATTATTATTATTATTATTATTATTATTATCATTATTAAATTGAAACCACATTGCAGCCAGAAGCTGAATTGCGTGGATTACATATTATCACATGCACTACATATAAATATATTATTAATACAATATTATAAAACCCACCCACGATCAAAATTCGATTAAAATAAGCATAAAATCTATCCTACAAACTTCCTACACATAGCAGGGATGAAAGAGTTATAAAAACGGTTCGTGCGTGTAACGTACATATTAAAATACCGATTCGTCCTGAAAGAATAATCAGTCTCGTTCATCGGGGGCAGCAGATGATGAAGTTTATGCATTGGATCCTTGATGATACTCGTAAAGAGTTTGTCACACATGTCCTCTCTTCTTTGAAATAGAGTAGGCAGTCTATAATACTCAAGGGCCTCACAATATGTCATTTCAGAAGATAAAATTTTTAGCACACGTTTCTGGACAGTCTCAAGTTCGTCTGCCAAATACTTTGGGATGGAATGATGGAAGGCTTGCGCACAATACTCGAGCACAGGCCTGATCACTGTACTATAAAAGTTCAAAACATCATTGACATTTACGCCTGCCCGTTTCAATAATACTATAAAATAGAGGCGTTTATTAGCTTTCTTTATACTCTCTCTGATGTTATCTTTCCACTGAAGTGTGCCTGTCATAACAAGACCCAATATTTTTGCACTCTCAACTATAGGCAATGCTTCTCCACCCACCAGTACAGGATCAAAAGGTTGTTTAATTTTTTAAAATCGATTCTCAGTTCTTTACATTTCTC